GTCTAAATAAAAACGTACATATGCAAAAGGGCTGCTCTGGAAATCTATAAGGAACACAGTAAACAAATATTTATAAAAATAAGGATTTTTTTCTCCCCTTGGTATAAGCAGGTCAGAACAATATACAATTTAAATAACATGATTCATCTTTAAATTGTATTAAAAATAACTCCATTATCTTATTTCAAGTTCATAATATCTGTTTTCTTCCATTGGGAGAGTGTCTTATTTACCAGAGCAACTTATTTTCCTTATTTTTAGAGCAATTCTAGCTCTGCATTTCTGAAAAATGAGCTTTTTTTCATACATAGCACTGAAAAAAATATTGATTTCCTGATATAGTTGCCAATTACTACAAAAAAACTGACAAAAATTGTATATTTATTTATGAACTATAACTTATATTTTTCACATAACTTCCGTGGTTCTACACAAGTTTTATTAGCTGAACAGAATATAGAAATAGCTCTTTGAATTGTAACGGTTGTAGACCTCTGCTCCAGATATTTCAGCAGGTTTTAGCAGAACTATAACACCAAAACACACATTTTAACATAAACTATGGAGTTATCTTGGTTGATGGCGCCTTTAATCCCAGTAGCCACATCAAAGCGTTTTATTTTTAACCTACATTTTAAACTTTAGATTGACTGAAATCTACTATAAATCAATCATAAACATATGCATTAGGCGGTATACCTTAGATTTTTGTTTTATTTATTTGAGTTTAATGTAGGATAAAAAGTCAGAATTCTGACTTTTATTCCAGAATTCTGACTTCGTGAGAATTTTTGAGATTGATACTTTTCTCCCCCACATTAAACTCAAATAAAATAAAAAAATCTGTTAACTTTTTAAAACATTTTTTCACAGAATTCTGACCTTAATCTTAGAATTCTGAATCAGAATTACAAGATTTAAATCTGAATTATGAGATTAAATTTAGAATTCTGTGGAAAAAAGTCAGAATTCTGAGATTAGATTAACAATTCTGCCTTTTTTCCCTTATTAACTATTAATTCTGACTTTAATCTCAGAATTTGGAGATTAAAGTCAGAATTCAAAGAGTTCAGTCAGAATTCTGAGATTAAAGTCACAATTCTGACTTTTTATTATATCAACCTCAAAAAAAAAAAAAAAAAAAAAAATCAGTTAATCTTTTACATTTTTTCTTTACAGTAGCCATACTCCTCTTCCGCATAATTGTTCAGACTCATTTTGGGGAGTTCATTATAATTCCGTCATACGGTGGGGGAGTCATCCATGGAAGGGAGGTGTCTTTAAAGGGTCAAACTCAAATAAAATAAAATATCAGTTAAGGTTTAAAAATATTTTTTCCACAGATATCTGACTTTAATCTGAATTATGAGATTAAAGTCAGAATTCTGTGGGAAAAAGTCAGAATTCTGAGATTAGATTAACAATTCTGCCTTTTTTCCCCTTATTAACTATTAATTCTGACTTTAATCTCAGAATTCTGAGATTAAAGTCA